ATCCCCAAAGGACAAATGTTATATAAGACCACCGTTATAAAGGGAAAAGAAAGAAACTAGGATAAAGATTGTCATACTAAAAGGAACGGACTGTGGAGTTTGTCAAGGGAGGAAGGACACAGCAATGGGATAGACCAGGGTCGGCACTGCGCGCCAGGTGCTGTTCTTCGGTACATACGTGCGACACCGAAGTAAAATGGAAACTTGTAAAAGGATATTATTCAGATAACGGCGGTTCATTTGTTTGTGAAACTATATTTATGGCTCGCAAAGAATTTTTAAGTTGTTCTGAGGGACAGGATTGGCTCTTCCATCTCAAAAGTTTGCCAAGCCCTGGGTTAAGTTGACTTGGGTGAGGTGGAAGGTGGTGCTCACTCCACGGGCAGGAAAAGGGAAATCGGGAACCGGGAGGGGTAAATGGATTGGGGGCTAGATTAGGAGTTTAGACTGTGGAACACATAGGTAACAGTCTGAGATGTAAACCCCCACCTAAGTTATAATAAAAGATTAAAGTATTACCTTGGATGGGGTCAGATATGATAAAATAATAATAATTTATAAATTATCAAGGGGGAGAGGGGAGCAGGGAGGGAGGGTGAAAAATGAGCTGACACCAAGGGCTGAAGTGGAAAGCCGGTGTTGCGAGAATAATGACGGTCAACATATGTACTAATGTGCTGGACACAAATGACATATGTACGGATTGTGATGAGTTGTATGAGCCCCTAATAAAATGATGATTTGATTTAAAAACCAAGATTAAAGTATTGTATCAATATCACCAAAAATGTTTTTACTTCATAATTCAGGTGTATTGCTTTATCATTCAGGATACCCTTTGCTCATTGAAAAGCAGAATGCTTATGTAATTTTTTCTGATTTTCTAGTGCATCTTAGTTTTGGGGTTGTTTTTTTTTTTCTCCCCCTTTTATGACCTCATTTTCTAAATGGCACTCAACTTTTCCTGATAGCAAAGAAATCAGTGGATCAACTGGAGCATTTGGCCCGGTGGGAGGTTCTGGAACAAGTCTGCTTCCATTGTCACGGACATAGGGGCTTTCCAGTTATTTATTAGAAGACAGCCGGGAGGAAATGGGGGGCAATCGATTCATGTGATCCTGTATTGCTAAATCCTCACCCCACTGCTGTCTTCTCTTTACTGCTTCCTCTACGGGCCGTCATTTCAATGCGCCCATCTTTTCAACAGCCGTCAGTGGGAATTGGGCTAGAATCTTGCTAAAGGGTCACATTCGCCGGCCTGACAGTTATACATGTACAAAAGAAACAGCACGAACTCGTTCAGCATCAAAACCTCTGCATCTTTTACCAGCCGGCTGCATTTCACACGGTAGTACCATCAGTGCGCTCTAATGGCTTTATAAGTTCCATCCAGAGTCTGCATTTAATTAACTGGCGTTCTCTGAGCAAAAATCAATGTGCTGTTTTTATAGGGGGATAAAAGCTGCATGAAGTGAGTGTGAAGACAAATCATCAAATTAGTTATTCTTCATGCAACTATGGAGAATTCTCAGCCGGCCCCTCCTCCTCCTCTTCAGAGGCAATGTGTTTTTGTCTGGCTTGATTGGATGGAAATGGGGAATGGTGTGGTAGCCTGGAATGTGTCTGAGAGCATTGTGATTGTCACATCCTAAGCTCATGCAGGCTGGTCACAAATGATACTGTTACCTACGAGTGCTTTTGTTTGGGGACTTTTCTTTTTTGGCATTGCACAAGCCCTATGACATAGTTACCAAGGGCATGCCGTTTTGGAACTAGAATGTCAGGGTTCAAATCCTCAGGTAGTCACATACTGGGGTTATGATCTTGAGCAGATTTTTTTTTTCTCCTGTGCATCAGTTTCCTGCCTGTTATAAGTAGACAGTAATAGGGCTTACCTTGCTCGGCAGTCTGCAGATTAGCTGAGTTGATGCATGTGAACCCCAGAGCATGCCAGCACATAAGAAGCCATTGTCTCCCGCAAGGAAACTAATAATCTGATAGACTGTTGTTGATCAGACTGTGGCACTGGTGACTCAGCTGATTGGCAGGTGAACTCCCTGCTGGGTCTGATGGGCTAAGTAGCTGCCTTTTGCTTTATTCAAATGGCTCTCTCTAAAAGTGCTGTTCAGATACAATGAAACAAAAGTCTTTGCTTCAAGGGTATGGTAGGCATTCGGTTGGCCGTGTCTATCCGTGGTGCATCCACTGCCAGAGTTCGCTTTCGAAAGCACTGCATTTACCCATCAGTTTTGCTCAAAAGTCTTCATAGTACAAACTCCTCTGTCTGTCCTGTCCTGTCATTTCTAGCAGGGCCTGACTCCCCTGTCTCTCTTTTTGTCTGCCATTTCCTTCTCTCCTGCACTCACCGAAGTACTAACTAATTTTCTAAGTTGAGTCAGCAAAGGGGAAGATAGTTTCTACCCCCTCTGTATTTTTATCACATACCATGGTTGTCTGCTACAAGGTTAATGTTATTGATGATCAATTATCCCGATAGCTCTACTTTCTCACTATCTTGAGAATCTAGCCACTGACCACCACCACCACCCCCTCACCATGTCCACACTGCAGTGGCCTTACCCCTTCTCTGTTCTTCTCTCTGCTTGCACTGGCACACTGCTTTAGCCTACTCTCAATACAGCAACCAAAATAATCCTCTTAAAATGTAAGCCAGATCTTACCACTCTTCTGCTAAAAGCCTCCAATGACCTCCCATGCCATCCTGAATAAAAGCCAAACTGCCTTAGAGTGGCCTAGAAGGTCCCCTCATCTTCTCATTGCCACTCAGTCCTACTCCTCCCCTTTCCTACCTCCTGCTACTTTCTCCACCTGCCCAAGCAGAACCTTCTTGCTGTCCTTTAAAGATGGAAGGCTGGGGGGCGTGGGGGCGGGGGGAGGAAGAGGAGCTGATTCCAAAGGTTCAATAGAAAGTAAAGGTCTAGAAAAGAACGACGTCAATATATGTACGAATATGTCTGACACGATTGTAACAAGATTTGTAAGAACCCCCAATAAAATGATCTTTAAAAAAAAGGATGGAAGGCACAATTCTACCTCAAGCCCCTTTCCCAGAAAGCACCTCCTTATGAAATCATACCTCTATCTCTCCTATAGACTTATGCTCAAATGTCACTTCAGTAGGATCTACCCTGACACCTCCTCCCTAACTTATTGTCTATTCCCCGCCAACTAAGATGTAAGTTCTGATGGTGGAGAGAGACATTATGTCTGTTTTGTTCAGTTATGTATCTTCAGTACCTGGAGCAGAACCTCACACATAAGCACTTAATAAATATCAATTTAATAAACCCAGAAGCAAGCCCACAGCCACTGAGTCGATTCAGCTGTTCTATGTAGGTTTCCAGGGCTGTAAATCCTGATGGGAGCACACAGCTGCATCTTGTGGGTACCAGTCCAACGCTTACCCCATGACACCACCAATTCTCTCCTGTTATTTAATGTATTTAATATGCGTGTAAGGTGGTTGGGCTCAGATAAGGGAAGAGTGTCCTATAATGGCTCCAAGTAAATTAAAATAACCATAGTTGAATATTAGCCATGGCAATTGGAGCAGAAAGTTGCATTCCAAATGAGAGAGATTTCTGCACCGAGTAAATAAGGAAAACAGAAATGGTTTGCTGTAGAATGCCTGCCATGTTAAATGATATCAGTGCCTTGGGGGGCTTTCCCTGACCCAGGACCAAGCACGCTGAAGAGAGTAAGTGGTGTGAGCTACCTGTGGGCCTCCTCTAGGAACTCAGGTGGTGTAGTGGTGATGCATTACACTGCTCAGTAAAAGGTCAGCAGTTCAAAACCACCAGCTGCTCTAAGGGTGACAAATGAAGTTTTCTACTCCCATGAAGAGTTCCATTCTTGGAAACCCACAGGTGCAAAGGGCAGTTTTACTCTGTTCAGTAGTGTTGCTAGGAAGTTGAAATCGGCTCAATTCAGTGAGTTCTGTGTTTGGGTTTGGTCTTCTTCTTGAGGAGTTCTGGTGGTATAATGTCTAAAGCACTCGGCTGCTAACCAAAAGGTTGCCAGTTCAAACCCACCAGCCAATCCGCAGGAGAAAAAAACAGTTGCAGTCTATTTTGGAAAAGATTTCAGCCTTGGACACCCTGTGGGGAAGTTCTACTCTGTCCCACGGGGTTAGCAATGAGTGTCCTCTTCCTAAATGAAAGGTGTAGCTAGTGTAGCATGCTTTGTTTTTTGTTTGTTTGTTTCCTGATTACTGAAAACAGGGTCCCGTGGTGGAAGAAAAGCACTCATGTTGGACCCAGGCAGACCTGAGTTCAAATTGTCAAAACTCCATGTCTTTGGACTGGTTACATGACCTCCTGAGTCTGTTTGCTCCTGTGCAAAAGGGTTGGTTTTTTAAAATAATGTCATTTCCTCAATCTCGCTCTAAAGATTAAATCAGAAAAGCCACATAACGCATCTGAGACGCAACCTGTCTAATAATTATCTTGTGGGCACCGCCTCCTACAGAAATCGCTATCCATATAAATGCGAGTTATAGTTTGCTATATGTTTTGTTGAAGTGTGTGGCCTGATTTAAGAGGGGGGAATAACTATCAGATTCATGGTCAAGAGAAAAAGCTTTGGCCTGTCACTTGGCCTGGTCCACAGAAAAGCCCACGCACTCGCTGACTCCATCAGCAGCAGCCAGCGGAGCTGCTGGGATTTTTCTAGAACGTACACTCTTCTGCCACCGACTTGAGCTCTTTACAGGAGCCTGCACTTCGTCTCCTTTGAGTTAGTTCTCAACTGTCTGTCTCTTGCACTTTTCTCCTTCCATCATTTTCGCAATGCTGTCCGAGGTGTACCCGTTGAAGGTTCCATACTAAGAGTTACTCAGGAAATCTGCCCAGGGAGAGTTGAGAGGGCAGCAACTTCAAGTATAAGAGAACACGAGTGCTAGCTATGAAATGGAGCACATATGTAGACTAATCAAGTTGCCTCTTGGTTTTGTTTTCTAAAAACGACACTGTACTCTTTAGGAAGCCAAAGCTGTGGTTGAAGAGACAAGAGCCCTACGCAGTCGGATCCACCTCGCTGAAGCTGCCCAGAGGCAGGCGCGCGGCATGGAAATGGACTACGAAGAAGTAATCCGTCTGTTAGAGGCGGAGATTGCCGAGCTGAAGGCCCGGCTTGCTGATTATTCTGACCAGAATAAAGTAAGCAAAACAGTCCTCGCTCCTAGTTACCATGGTTTCCTTGCCGTTGTCATGAATCCTGTTTTCACTCTCTTTTCATCTGCGCTTCTAAACTAGGTCAGCGTTTGTCTTCTGGTACTCAGTGAGGGATGATGTGTCGTGAGGGAGGCAGCAAGAAGGTGGTTAGCCTCTCTTGATCCAGATCGCGTTGGGATGGAACAGCTTGTGTCTCAAGTTTAGGGGGCCATTGGCCAACGTCCTACAGCTTGGACGTGACGTCTGGAGATCGCTTACATTGAGTTGATGACATTGCTTTTCTTTGTGGTCTTTGAATTTGTTCATTTGTCTTGTGGGGTGGTGGGATGTACCTGTGGGTTTTGCTCATTGATTCAAATGCTAAAGCAAGCATGGAGATGAAATATTTCTTGGCCCGTGCCCAAGATAATTAACGGGAAGAAACGGAGTTGAAGCTTAAGGTTTATTGGTTTGGGGTTTTTGCTTTTTGCAATTTGAACAGCAAAGTCCATAATGGTTTTCAGAAAGCAATGTGAACCCACATTTTTTTCATATATAATCGACTATACTCAGCGTATCCTTCAGAAACTATCATATACATGTACACTTCACTTCACTGATGAATCAATTGAATTGGGTATTTTATGACTTCAGAGTTGTTTACTTCTAAACATGGTGTTTTTGTCTCTCAAGATGCCCTCTTTCCAAAGAACATGAAAAGAATTGTAACAGTTTATTGATAATTTGATTTAAACAAAACAGTTAAGTGCTTTAAATTTACTATGTTGCTGTCCACTAAACATTAAACTGCAGACTTCAAGGTTGGCAGTTCAAACCCACCAACTGCTGAAGATGTCTGTTCCCTTAAGGATTTCCAAAGCCTCGGAGAACCTACACAGGGTTGCTATGAGTCAGAATCGACTCTTTGAGTAGATTTTGTGGGGTTTTGGTTTTTTTTAAATGTTTTGTTTGAGTTTAGGTTTTAGTGAAAATGAAATATGTTTGAGAAAAACAAAATATAGGAGAAATTTTGAAATTTTCTTTGAATAGCTCTCGAGCCACTGAGGTCTTTTTGCTTAAATAAATGTAAATCTGCCCGTTTAAACCACTCCCAAAAGAAGCTGGCATTTCTGTCACTCTTTGATAATGCCACTAGGCCAAGGAAAACCATTACTAACAAAGCAACTTGTATTGTTCTTGTCCCAGTATTTACAGTCTGAGAACAATGATACTAGGCGATTATGCCATATGAATAATTTTAGCCTGATTCTGAAAATAATTTAGAAATATTAAAAGTATTTTTAATAATCAAGTTACTTTTGGAGGAAAAATAAGTGTTTTCTTTTTTCCTCATTTTTTAAAATCATTTTATTGGGGGCTCTTACAGCTCTTATAACATTCCATACATCCATTTTAAAAAATCATTTTATTAGGGGCCCACACAACCCCTATCCCAATCCACACATACA